GAGCCTCTGTCGGAGGAAACTGGGAGGAGTGAGGGGCAGCACGCTGGCATCCCTCGACACAGGGAACACAGGCAGGGCCAGGGCCCTGAGGAAGGGGAGGGAGGGACCTGGGGAGACCAGAGACAAGGAGACGGGAGGCCATGCCTCGGAGCCGAAGCAGAGAGGGGTGACCCAGGCGGTGGTGCCAGAGGAGAGTCTCGTGAGACAGGCGACGACACGAACAGGGGGCAGACTCAGGACCAGACCTGGACGCTGCAGCAAACACCTGACCAGACGAAGGGACCCTACCAGACTCAGGAATTGGAGGAGAAGAAGTGGTCAGTGTGTACAGGCTCGACCCTGGCTGACGTGTAAACGTAGCCAGGTGACGACCTGTGCTAGCCTCTGTGCAGTACGTCACTCGCTGACGAGCAGGGGTGAACTGGTGGACTCCCGCATCCTGTAGGTCAGCACCACTCACCAAGTTCGTAGAGAACGAGGGGAGGTAGAGACCAGACAGGGTGCCAGAGGGAGCCGCCGGACACGGAAGGACTGTGGAGAAGCGAGACAGGACAGGACCCCCAGAGGGGTCAGCCAGGGACACCGCAACCGGTCGACTAAGCGGCGTGAGTGTGGTGCGGTCCCGAAAGAAGGAGCGAGACGCTCCAGAGTCAAGGGTGAAGGTGTGGGAGGCAGAGGCTGACGCAGTACCTGAGAGCGCAGACTCACCAGTACCTGAGCGAGCAGCCTCACCAGCACCTGAGAGCACAGACGTACCGGCACCTATAGCAGCAGCCTCAATGCCCGGGTCGGGCGGGAAACACCGGTAACAGTCACCCTCATCACTAATGGTCACAGCATACATAGCAGCAAGGATAGCATCAAAGTCAAGATCAAAAATAGCTACACCAGCCCTAGACAGCTCTCCCCAGCGGGGGATCTCCGCGGCCTCAGGGAACTGCTGGCGCCAAGCGTCCGTCAGGCGGCCAAAGCAGCGCTGGGCGGAGTGGGTACCCCCACACTGCTCTCCAGCGCGGTCGCCAGTGCGAAGAACGTAGGTGCAAGGACCAAAACTCCCACCCCGCTGACGCTGCGTGTACCACTCACGGAGCTGATGAGGGGTGGGGACGTTGCGAGAACGCTGCTGCTGCTGTTGGCGCTGACCACCTCCAGTGCTGCTCCGCTGCGAAGCGCCACTCCGACCACCTCCACCACCGCCACCCCCGCCTCCTCCTCCACCGCCACCGCCTTCGCCACCTCCTCTCCCACCGCCACCGCCGCCGCCACCTCCGCCTCCACTGCGGCCACTAGCACCCCCACCCCCGCCACCACCTCCACCGCCACCCCCACTCCCTCCGCCGCCTCCACCTCCACCTCCACCGCCCCCGCTGGCCCCACCCGCTCCCTTGCCCCCCTTGCCCTTGCCAGAGTGGTGTCTCCCGTTAGGGGCAGACGCCGCACCGACCGACTCAAGACCAACGAGGTCGGTCGCAGCGGCAGAGGCTACAGAGGCCAAGAGAGGGGAAGGAGAACACCCCTCAAAGATGGGGGCGCGGGGGTCACCTCGAGAGGCTCCTACAACGACGATGCTCTTCTCTGCCGCTAGGAGGGCCTTCTCGAGGCTGTCGACTGTGAGAGTGGTGGGACAGACCGCGAGGAAGTGGTTCCGGACTACACGAAGGGAGTCAGGGAGACGAGTGACTAGAAAGTAGAGAGTGATGTACATGGGGGGGGGGGTTCTTGGCGCAGAAGTCAGCAGGAAGCGCAGCGCGGTAGCGGGTGTCACTAGTGCGGAGGTGCGTAATGAGATCAGCGACAGTGGGAAAGGCGGCAAGGTCAGGGAAGAGGAAGGGGAGCATGAGGCGGCTCAGTGCAGCAGTGGCAGGGGAGGAGTAGCGCGCAACTACAGCGTCGTACAAGGTCTGGGCACTCTTGTACTGACTAAAGTGGGCACGCTCAGCGGTAGGCAGGTGGCGACGCACAGCAAGACGTGCAGCAGCATCGCGTGTGGCTCACTTGGAGCGAATAGTGGGGTCAGCATCAGCAGCAGGGGCAGGGACGGCGCCAGAGGTAAGGTCAAAGAGAGAAAGGTCGTCTACCCTATCGCACTGCAAGAACAGCTGCAGGTCGTCAACCCAGACCTCAAAGTCAATGGCGCGGCCCTCAGCGTCAAAAGCAAGGACACTGGGGGTAGCCATGACAGCAGTCGACGGTCTCACCAGACAGGACGGGTCGGGCAGCTCAGCAGCACAGCAACACGGCAACACAGCAGCTCGGGCGGCCCAGCAGCAACAGCAGCCCCGCGGGACCGGCGGCTCGACTCCTCAGGCGACTCGGGCGGCTCGGGCGGCTCGGGCGGCTCGGGCGGCGCAGGCGGCTCGGGCGGCTCGGGCGGCTCGGGCGGCTCGGGCACTCAGCGGCATAGGCGGCTCGTGCGGCTCGGCTCTTCAGCGGCGCAGGCGGCTCGGGTGGCTCGGGGACGCGGGCGGCACGGGCGGTTGGGTGTCACAGCGGCGTACGGGCGGCGTGGGGCCGGGACGGCGGCGTGCGGCAGGGACAGGTGGCGCACGGGCGGTGCGGGGCCAGGACGGCGGCGCACGGCTGGGACGGGTGGCGCACGGGCGGCTGGGAGCGGGGCCGGGACGAGCGACGCACGGGCGGCTTGGGGCCGGGACGGTGGCGAGGGGCCAGGACGGGCGGCGCACGGGCGCCGAGGGGCCGGGACGGCTGTGCGCGGCGGGGATGGGCGGCGCACGGGTGGCGTGAGGCTGGGACGGGCGGCGCACGGCGTCGACGGGCCAGAACGGGCGGCGCGACGGCGGCGTGGGGCCTGACGGGCGGCGCACGGGTGGCGCGAGGCCGGGACGGGCGGCACACGGCGACAACGGGCCGGGACGGGCGCCGCACGAGCGCCTAAGGGTTGCGCGACGGCGGCTCAGGGCCTGACGGGCGGCGCGCGGGTGGCTAAGGGCGGCGCGCGGGCGGCGTGGGGCCTGGACGGGCGGCGCGCGGGCGTCTAGGGGCCGAGACTGGCGGCGCGCGGGCGGCTAAGGGTGGCGCGCGGGCGTCGAAGGGCCGGGACTGACGGCGCGCGGGCGTCTGAGGGCGGCGCGCGGGCGTCTAGGAGCCGTAGGGTAGGTCGACAGATCGAGAGAGAGAGAGCCCGGAGCGCGCTCCGGGCAGGAAAAAAAGTTTGAAGTGGTGGGCCCTAAGCACAGTTCCCACAGGGGAACCTGCTCTATACCATGATAAGAATAGAACGAGAATGAATGAGCTATGAGTGAAGTGGGTACAAGTACTAACCCTAATTGGGTTGTACCCCCTATGGGATACCCCACTATAGCCTACACAAAAGCATAAGCTATAATGTTCTGACACCGCTGACTTGGATTGAAACATGGCGGACGCTGCGGCTTCAGCGGCATTGGCGACGGTAAGGCTGATTCGCCGGCCGGCACTGAAATCGTGAGTCGAGGCTGATTCCTGGCCGCATTCGTCGCGTCGAGGTGTGTCGTGCCGTGGTCGTCGTCTCCGTCATGGCGGACGACGCCATCACTTGCGGCGCTCGCGGGTTGCCCCACACTTCCGTGTTGCGATGTCTGTGGTGCGGGCTGAATCGGAGTGCCAGGTGCTTGGGATTGTGCTCGTGCGAGGTCATTTTGCAGGGAGGTACGGTCCGCCGTTAATGCAGCGATTTCTTCGAAATGTTCGTGCAGTTGTCGCAGCAGCTCGTCCAGGCCGTCCCGTGTGAGGTTAGTGACGTCAAGATGCTCTGCCATTCCGAAGGGCTTCGGCTCGTCTTAGTCTAGGCGCAGTCGTGGCTGCACGCGTTTACGAGAGAACGCGAGGACAGCGGCTCCTAGGTGCTAAGGTGCGTGCGTCCCTTCGAGTGAAAAATCAAAAGTTGATTTCCTGGGGTGCGGAGATGCGCGGTCCGAAAAGGAAAGAGGCTCTGATTAACCAAGTGTTACGGGTGTAATGAATCGAAGTAGCGAGAATTGCACTAAAGTGTCAAACGAGTACAAAATGTGAGCGAAGGCATGAGCGAACATTTATACGCGAAACATGCAAACGGTAACGCGGTGCGTGCGAGCTAGCTAGTGCTATGCTGGAAGCGAGGCGAAATCGGCGAAGCCCCGTTAGTAGTAACGGGCAAACAACGGCTGCTGCTGTACGCGATGTTGCAGGGTGCGCTAAGGAATATCGAGAAAATTCCTTACAAGCGTACAAAATCGATGGTGCTGTTCGCCAGCAAATCGAAAATTTAAATGAAAAAGATGGCATCGGCATCGCAACCGCATCCGGAAACGGAGTCGGAACCCACCTCCTAGGTTTGGGCGTAATGCCACTCGAGAAACTTCTGCGCCCGGAAAGCGAAATTTCGCAACCGCATCGGGAACCCCCATCCCCACCTTCCCCCCAAGGGCTTTGAACGGCAATGCGACGGCTGTGCCATTGCTGTGCTTCGAAAAACGCGGCATGGCGATGGCATGGCTTGGGGATAGAACTTTGCCTGGGGACGAAGTTGCGTGCCCGCTTCGTTTTGGTGGACAAATGGGGGCGTTCGCCAGACACCCACTTTGATTGTTGGTTTGGACGGTTGGGGAGGCTCGGCACCTTTTTTACGGGCTGACCAGGCTGACGGAGGCAAACGAACCCTAACTGACGGGATCAGGAAGACGAGACCCACCTTGGTTTTTGGCTTCACAGGTGCTGGCGAACAGCCCCATAAACTCACCTAGTTGCACCGGAAACGAAAACAATCTCTCGGGTTGTTAGGGTTTGCCCTTGAGATTGTCTCTGCTCTTCCCAAAGAAATGCTTCGAGAGTTCACTTCAAAGGTTCTTCTAGGATCAGATAACTCCAGATCTGCTTTGCAAGCTTTCTTGTGTTCATCTTCAGGCGACTTCGCTACGTTCAACATCAGAGGCTATTACCTTTCGCAACCGCAAGCAATTTATGACCTGTTTCGCTGGATTCATTGACCCGACGTAGCTTCAACAACTCGTCGGGGAGTCACCATGGAGATGCAGACATGCGGGAAGCCGATCGACACGCTCATGGAGCGTGTTCTGTCGATGAACATCCTTGCTTCGGTAGGTAATTTAACAACCCGATTCCTGAATGTTTGTTGTTCGTATCGTTTTTACATAACTCGTAGGAGAGGTGTTCACAGATCTCGTGTTTACGTTTGTCGTCATTCTCTTGTTCGCGGCACCTGGTGAAGCCATCCTAACCTATTTCCCCTGTTCTTGTTCTTCTCGACATTTACTCGCGCTTATCGTCGTCGCATATCACTACTCCGAGTAGGAAATACACGGCGGCGGAATCGGAGTTCGAAGAGAGGAACCCGAATGTATGCCAGGCAACACCTACTCCACCGATTTTGACCCTTTTCCGCGAATTCACCACTTCATCGCATCCCCGTGTTACCACCATCCTCCCCCTGTCCCTTTCGCTCATTGAAATCACATCCATACCAATCACGACCACACACTTTCAGAAACTATTTTTCACACAAGGCGTCCCCTATCCTTTTTTACGTATCCTCCAACCCACCATTTTCCAGGATTACTTCCGCGGTCTGTTCCGACTAAAGACATATCACGAGGTGATCGACGAGATCTACTATCAAGTTTCGCACGTGGAGCCGTGGATGACGGGCAACTGTCGAGGGCCGTCCACGGCGTTCTGCCTGCTCTACAAGTTCTTCACCATGAAGCTCACGGTCAAGCAGGTGCAAGGGCTCATCACGCACGCGGATTCACCATACATCCGCGCGGTAAGAATCCCCCCATTTTTTAGCATTTCCTTATTATTTTCCTTTTCTTTCTCACGGTCTTCCGCTCCTCCCGGTTCTTGCCTGTAGTACCTTTTCCGGGTTTTAGCTTCTGTGTTCTCTTCGTTTTCGCTCCCGTGATTTCATTTGGTGTAAGCGCCGCGCTTAAAGATTCGATATTATATGTATGAGACGTGGATCCGGTTCGTGGTGGACTAATTCTCATCTTTCGATTTGAGAACTCGGCTGCATACTATCTTGTTGGTCGAAGTCCTGCTGGTTGGATGCCTGAATCGGCAATGCTTTGGAACCGTCGGAGCAAAGGTGACTTTCTAGACGTGTATTTGACCTTTAAGAATGCGCTGCAACAAATACTTCTTGGCTGTCTGTCTTTTAGCGCTGGCTGTGCCGGTACGGTTCGTTTGTCCGTTAGTATCCGTCCAGCGTTTCTCCCTTTCGTCGGTGCATTCTCCGTGCTTCTGTTTTGGCCGTTTCGCGATCTGATTCGCCCAACTTTCATGCGATACCGATTCCATGCCATGCCACGCCATTCTATGCCATTCCAGGGTGCAGTGGTGATGCTCATGGGCTTGGTGCTGGGGTAATGTCCCGATGGGTTGACCGCTAAGTATTGGGAAAGACCAACCCAACCAACCAACCCCACCTTGCACGTGCGCGACCAGCGTTGCGTCTCAAGCAAGCATTTGGTCCGCACACGAGTGTGTGAGTGCATGCTCCGTGTGTGTTCCTGTGTGTGAGGGTGTGTTTGTGTCTGTGTCCGTGTGTATGACGCAGAGGCTGGCCCGAAGAGAGAATTCTAAACGACGGAAAGAAACAAAAATAAATGGTTTCCAGACAACTATGTGTTCGAGCGACATATCTCCCCTTTCCTTGACATATCTATCGTCTCCACCCCTCTCTTCTCCATCCCGCTCCTCCTATTTTCCCTTTGCTCTCTTCCCTCACACTCTCCCCCCTTCCCTCCCTCTCTCTGTTCCCCTCCCCCGCACAACCTCCCCCCCTTCTCCCGCGCTCTCTCTCTATCCCTGTCCCTCTTTCACCTCCCAATTCGCCCCCCACCCCTTCTTTGTCTAAATCCTTGTCCTCCTCGTCATATCGTTGTTGCTGGTTACCTGCATGCCTTGTTTTCGCTTCACCCTCCTGGCCCCGCTCGGCTGTTCCCCTGGCCTTCCATCTCCTCCCTTCCCGACCTCTGCTTCGCAGGTTGGCTTTCTGTATATCCGGTATATGGCAGAGCCTAAGACCCTGTGGGGCTGGTGTGAGCCGTATATTAAGGACTCAGAGGTGAGTGGTGTGTACCCCGTGAACCCTTGTGAACCCTTGTTTACCCCTGTGTACCCATTCGTATCCTTGTGTACCGTTCTGTACGCATCGCAGTAACTCGGGCATGTGATCATCTCTCCCTTCTTTTGCATTGGTTTTCTTACAACGGTTTTTCCGTAGAACTCATGTTTTTCAAAATCGTTAGAACGTTTACCTACGGATATCTTAGTAGAGGAATGGGAAACACATGAGCAAGCACTGATGTAGAGGATATGCATAGCATCCTGTGATTAATCAAGCAGGCTTGTATATCGTTTATTGGTGGACTAGTAAGTGATGCCCTGCTATCTTGCTCCCTCGGCATCTTCTTGCCGTCTGTGTTTGCTTCGCCTTATGCTGTTTGAATTTTTTGTTGCATGCAGTGCATGCTCTCGAGGTTTTATGCCGTGCCATTCCTGCCATTCCATGCCATCCCTTCCCACGCTCATTGATGTGCTTACACTCAGACCCATCATGTTCCCCTGTTCGATTGTGCCATGTGCGCCCATCAGGAGTTTTCCCCGGGGACTAATGGGAAGAACACCACCATGGGGAATTACGTACGCGACTTGCTGCTTGGGCAGGTGAGCTTGCTGCTAGGCCAGTCCCTTTCTTACCCCTTAGGTCCTGCTTTTCCCCCTAGTATTGCTCCATCTCACTCTTCCCCGCTTCCTCCCAGTGCTCATTAGCGGTTCCTTCCTCTCTTGCGGTTTCCCCTTCCCCCTCCCTTCGATCTTCCGTCCCCCACCTTTGATTCCCCCCGCCTCTTCCCCTGCATTACCTCCCCTTTCCTCCCCCCGTATTTTGGTGCTCATAAGCAATCAAATCATTATCAATCGTAAATATAAATAACTCAAGCTGTTTTGTGTCCCTCCCTTGCCCTTCTGGTCCCCTATCCTCCCCTGCCCCCACCCCCACCCCCCCCTCGCTGCCCCCCGGGGTTCTATTCTCCCCTGCCTCCTCTTCCCCTCCGTCTCCCCGCAGTACTACTTTGACTCGCTCTTCCCCCGCATCCCAGTGCTCATCAGCCGTCAGATCATCTCCAACCTCGAGGCCCTGAAGCTACCCACCCAGCCCTCAGGCGTGGCAGCATCAGCAGACAGAAGCGGTGCAGACGACAGTGCCGCCCGGCGGCCGCCGTCGGTGAAAGCTGCCTTGTCTGTAGCGTTCGGGCAGAGGGCCCCTCATAGAGCGTCGACCAGGATGGGATCTAAGGATGAGAAGAAGAGCGGCAGTGGCACTGGTGGCGGTAGTGGCAGCGGCAGCGGTGGCCCAAAACGCACGCCTGACAGGACAGATGACAGGGACAAAGCCAGGGGGGACAGGGACAGGGACAGGGAGAGGGAGAGGGACAGAGACAGAGACAGAGACAGAGACAGAGACAGGGACAGGGACAGGGATAGGGACAGGGATTGGGATAGAGACCGGGACAGGGACCGGGACAGAAATAGGGATCGGTACCGGGATCGAGAGAGGGAGAGGGATGGGGACAAGTATAGGGATAGGGATAGGGATCGGGACAGGGACAGGGATCGGGACAGGGACAGGGACAGGGACCGGGATCGGGACAGGGACAGAGATAGGGAGAGAGACAGAGACAGGGATAGAGACCGGGAGAGGGGGAGGTCAAGAGAGAGGTCGAGGGAACGGGGAAGGGACAGCCGTGACCGTTCGAGATCAAGGGAGAGGAGTGCAGAGAAGGAGAAGAAGAGTGCAGTTTCGGACCAGCTGAAGAAACTGAGGGACCTGTATGGGGATGGAGGGAGCAAGAAGGAGGCACAGCCGTCACAGGGTTACAGGGGGAGAGGGGATGATGAGGTTATTCGACTGGGAGGGTTCACTTGGAAATAGTGGGTTGCCTGGTTGGAATGGCTGGAGTTATGTGTATCTGGCATTTCAACTGGAATGAGCAGGTGTGGAGTAATTGGAGTTCTTACTAAACCTTTGTAGACAGTTTCTTGTGATGCATGTGGTCTAGGGTACTACAAATTGAGATGTAGTACAGCATTAGAGGTTTCTACTTCATTTTGAAATATGTTTCAACAGTTTTGTTATGGAAGAATCCCAACCACTAGACCATTGGGATAAGAAGGCTTGTTTTTTGTTCTTGCAATGACCCTCAGTCCCTTGCCCCCCCTGGGGATGGCTCTTGTTGGAACACTAAGGCACAAGCGAAGCAGAGCATATCGAGGCACCAGTAAGTCAACCCTCTGAGGTTGAAGTAACCGCTGGAGGTTACGCGAAAGTCAAAGGTCAGCGACCTTTGACCTGACAAATGCAACGCGACAGCAAGGACACACAATTGACTCTTTACAGAGCAGTTGCCCGAGTCGTCACTGTATCGAACCGCAACAGCAACAGTAAAGTAGTTATAACTGTGTCTCTTCATATTCTCTGTATTCATATATAATCTTGTATCTCTTTGCTTTAATTAATTCACTTTGCCCTCACATACCGTATGGCCCCAGATATAGGCGCCGGCCTATTACAGGCGCCGGCGCTTCTATCTGGAGCATGGCGCTTATGGCCGATCCTCGATTATTAGCGCCACCCCTTTTGTACCCTTCCTTATTATAAACGCCACCCTCAATATTAACACTTTTTTTACCACCACAACAAAAGCAAACAACTATTAACATCGTTATCTTCAACGAATACTACAAGTTAGTACAATTTTAGACTTAATCTGCTATTCTACCTAGGTACACAATTTTAGACTTAATCTGCTATTCTACCGGAACTACTACTCGTCAGACTCAGGCTCCTGGCAGTTGTTGCCGAAGAATCCGTCGGCGATGATGCCGTCGTCTACATCCACTTCCGCCGTCAGTTGGCTCCGCTTGTGCGCCATGGCGAGGTGGTCCTCACTGCCGTCAAGCGCGTTGCTAATGCCGCAGGTGAGGAAGGCGCGCTTGACGAGGTCGGAGGGTACTGCTTTCCAGGCTTGTGAAATCCATTGAAGGACCACTTCTGGGGGGGGCTTCTTCAGATTCCCTGCACCGCAACAGAGACACCCGGGAAAGCCATGTCAGTGACCAAGGGTGAAAGGGGGATAAACATGCGTGTTTAACGGAAACAACGTACCTGCAGGTGTCAGTTGCTCTTGGCCCTCCTCCTGAAACCACTTCTGGTACTGCTGACGAACAGATGCTTTGAAGCTCTTGTTGATGGAGACGTCGAGTGGCTGAACCTCACCCGTACAACCCGACGGGATGACAGCAGGCACGCAGTTGATCTCGCGGAGCTTCTCCTTCACCCCCTCGGTAAGGTGGCCGCGGTAGGAATCCAGCACGAGCATAGAGCTCTTCGCACACCTGCCAAATCGGGGCTGCAAGAAGGGCTTGACACACACCTCAAGCCAGCGGATGACGCCTTCTGTGTTCATCCACCCGTTCTCGTGGCAAGCCACGACCACATCTGCACACAGAAATGGCACTTAAACTTAGCGCGGCATGAGAAACGATACGGTAAGACAGCGGCAGTTGCTACTTATTACCAGGAGGAAAGTTGCCCTTCGGCAACGTCTTCCGCTTGAAAAATACCCACGGCTTGAGCTTCGCCCCGTCCGCCGTGCACGTCAGCATCACGGTCACACGCTCCTTCTGGTAACCTGCACTCCGGATTGGCACCGACCGTACGCCCGTCTGATCCACGGTCGTGGTGGCGGGCATCTCCAGCCAGAGCGGCGTCTGGTCAGCGTTGAGGATCCAGCATGGCTCAATGCCGCGCGCGCGACGCATGTGTCGGACAAAACGCCAGAATTTCTGGCACTGCTCCGCAAGATCTGTGAGACGGGGGAAAGCGGGCGGGATAGACGGCAGTTTAGTAAGTGAACCTGAAACTTAGACATAATGGCAAGGGGCGTAATCTTACGAGCGGCTGTTTTCTGAGCAACCCGCGTCTTCATGCGGACGCTCAGATTCCACCGCTTCCGAAACCGCTCCGACCATCTCTGACTCCTGCTCCACTTGACGTCCGGGTAGAGGATCTTCATGAACTCCCTCGACCACTCCCGCAGACGGCCGACCGACACGGCGGTTCCTTTGCGGCGCCAGTCCAGGAGCCGCTCGTACACCTTCAACTCCATGGAGCGGTACCACGAGGCCCGCCCGCGACCGTGCATGCGCTTCCGCCCGGAGTGTGCTTCTTTGAGAAACCCCGCTGCCACCTTCCAGTTGGCGAGACACTTCCGGTGAATCCCACACTCCCGAGCTAGTGCGCGCACCGACTTCGCCACATCCAGCATCGCGACGTACTTCAACTTCTCCGCGACGGTGTAGCCTTTGCGCTTGTGATCGCTGATCTTGTGCCTGGGAGAGGGGGGGCGGGCATCACGGTTCTGGGTAGACGGGTGGGGTCGCTTGCGGTTAGCTGGTGGAAAGGAAGGTATCGGCAGTTCCTCGGGGAGCCCGTCACGTGACCAGTACTCGACACCGTCGGCGTCGTCGCCACCAGGTACGCCCTCAGGAAACACATCCTCAGCGGTGCCGCCCTGCACGCCACCTTCCTCAGCCTCGTCGCCGTCAGCACGGCTCGCTTCCTCGTCGCCGTCAGCACGGCTCGCTTCCTCGTCCTCAGCCACGTCGTCGTCAGCTCCGAGTGCAGATTCGTCCCACGTGGTGCAATCATCGGGCCGGCCCCATTGTGGTCCAGGGTAAGGTGCACCGGGTACCTCAACATCTTGGGCCTTGTTGCTTTCCGGTTCCTCCAGCCACTCGTCGAACGCAGTCGGGAGCAGGAGCGTGAGCACGGGCGGATCCCCTGTGTTGTGAGGACATCCCAGAATCGGAGGAGACGGAGGAATAGGAGGAGCAGGAGGCGCAGGCGGCAAAGGAGGAGCAGGAGGAGCAGGCGGCGCAGGAGGCGATGGAGGCTGTGGTGGCTCTGGTGGTTCAGGTGGGACATGGGAGTACCATCCGTCGGCGTCGACTACGAAGGCGGGCCTATGGCGGGCTTCTTTTTGAACAAGAAATGAGTGCCAGCGAATTCCGCCATGGCTTCCGCAGCATGGCGGGCGGGACCAAGAATCTGAATGAAAAAAGTGAAAGAGAAGGCGAAGAAATGAGGGTTTGGAGGGGACCCCTTCTGGTGTGCGGCTCGAATTCCTCTTCAGGCATAGTGAGATCCCCCCCTGCCTAAACCCGCAGAGGAGGGAATCGCGGCACGTATCTGCTGCGCTGGCAGGAATATGCCACCCCCTTCTCGAAAGTTCGGGTGAAATGTGGCGCCCTGGCAGCGCATGTAAACCCTTTTGGGCCGCACGCCAGGATGCACGTCATGGCTGGCAGGTGCGTTGCTCCAGGACAGGTTCTGTGCGGTGGGAAATCGAGTCGTGGCAGTTTTCGCCGGAATTTCATGCACGATCCCATGCGCAACGTTCACAGTTGTGTTCGCCTTATTGTGGGCTTCACTTTAATACTTCGAAAACCAAAATTGGAATTTGACATTTTATAAGCGCCGGCGCTTATGGCCGTTCCTCAATTACAAGCGCCACCCCTAAAAAATCATTACTTATTATAAGCGCATATGCGCTTATATCCGGGGCCAAACGGTACTAGCACAAGGTGGTTCACAAACTCTTCATTAAGACACTTCCGCTACTACATCAACTCTACCCAGAATTCACCTCTGCAAAGATCCTAAGGGCTTTTTTCAGCCCAACAGCTCTCAGGTCACACGGGGACCCTCGGTCCCCTACCCCCCTTTGAGAACGGCTCGCAGGCCACACAAGGACCCTCGGTCCCCTTTCCTCCCTGGGGAACGGCTCACAGGCCACACGGGGACCCTCGGTCCCCTTCCCCCCCTGGGGAACGGCTCACAGGCCACACGGGGACCCTCAGTCCCCTTCCCCTCCTGAGGAACGGCTCACAGGCCACACGGGGACCCTCGATCCCCTTTCCCCCCTGGGGGACGGCTCTCAGGCCACACGGGGTCCCTCGGCCCCATATTGTCATTAGGAGATGTCCTTCCGTGCGCATGCAGTTGATCATGTCGCTGGTGCGAATTTTTACGCCACGACTAGTAGAGTCCCACTTCTGTGGTGTTGAGCCCGTATTTGTGGTGTTGAGCCCGTTTTTCTGCCACCGAGGGAGTGAAGTAGCAGCAGGGGGATTAATAGACAACAAAGAGGATGCCATAACGAAGGAAAATAATAATAAAAATAAAAATAAAACTGAACTTGCAGCACTTATATATGGTGGTTGACTCCCAGTCAAACGCCTTAGGCGCTGCAGAGGACGTTTTTGTCACTGCCGCGCCATTGGCGATTCCGTTCCGCAGGCGCGCATGTGGCGATTTTGCCACTGACGCAGTGCCATAGGCGAGCGTGTGGAGATTTCGTCACGAGCGCGCGCCACTGGCGCCAGTGGCGATTTCGTCCTTGGCGCGCGCCACTGGCGCCAATGGCGATTTCGTCCCTAGCGCGCGCCACTGGTGCCAGTGGCGATTTCGTCCCTGGCACGCGCCACTGGCGCCAGTGGCGAATTCGTCCCTGGCGCGCGCCACTGGTGCCAGTGGCGATTTCGTCCATGGCGTGCGCCACTGGCGATTTCGTCCTTGGCGCACCAGTTGCTGTCTCCTCCTGCGCACTTCGCTTTCAGTTGAACGCACATCAAGTATAGTCGCAGGTCTGAAACTGTTACTCTTCACGGTGAACATGCGTGGAAGTGCGTGCGTGGCAGTTGGGAAACCGAAGTAGTAAATGTGACTTGTCTACGAAGTAGTACTAGAATCAAAGTTAACGGGAAACCGAGTGGTTGGATGAGAATGGACTGTAACTACAAAGTTTCTATTGAATTGGCCTCCAACCTCTCAGAAGTAGTTAAAACTTAGGTACTAGGGTGTTGGGTAGA